CGCCAAAGCCGCTCAGAATCCCTGCATCGACGATCTTGCATCCCGAAACCACATCTGGAGATGACCACCATATTCCGCCGAATGACGTGGTTTCGTCGAAAATAACTGAACATTGCGGGAATGAACTACCAGCAAGTATCGAACTTAGCGAGAGCTCTACTGCCACTTTCAATCGGACTTTATCATCCAGTAGTGAGACGCCGATCGCGACTGCAACAACCGAGCAAGAGTATGCGATACACAGCAAGGATGATACCCCTCCCGATGTATTCAAGAGTTTCATCGACGAGCTCGACGGAGGGAAAGGACACCTATATATCTGGGAGGCTCTTGGTGGGCAGCTGTACATAACTTTACTCAACGCTGCACAAGCGAAAGAGCTGCCCGAGAATCACGACTTCATCGAACATGTCTTTCGCAACACGATTGCGGAGGCTTTCGAGGGTGACGAAGCATCTCAAGTGGCGCAATCTGTACAAGCCGGAAATAATGCTGACTCAGTAAGTGGTCCACCAATGTTATCTCGTTTGCTCACATAGTCAGGATGAACGCACTGTCGCTCGTACAGTCGTCACTGTGGCCACGCCGAACCTGCTGACATTGGGCGACTTCGACTTTGAGCGGCATAGAGACGAGAACTTCTGGATCGGCGAGCATGGAACGATGTAAAATGGCCATGCGTTGTTCATTGTCACTCTAGCTTCACTTTGGTAGTTGCTTCCCCACGAGATCATTGGTCATATACTGTCTCATAGCAGGCACTCTTTCAATTCCATCCTACAATACCCTCCGCCAAAGTCAAAGGTTGCTGTGCTGACCCTGTCATGACCGAGATCCTTCTTCCGATAATACCTTTGTCGCCAACGCCGAGGTGCAATTTCTCTGGTAGTTGCATGAAACCTCTTTGTGGCGACTCTATTTCAAAAGAGTACAAAGCATCCAATGTACCTTGTTGCGTTGACGAGCAGAGATCACCGTCACAACTAATAGCATCGTCAGCATTGTGCTAGCCCTTTGGATGGACGCAACCGTGACGGACTGAACTCACTGTATGACCAGCCGGTGGCTATCCTGTTGCAAAACGTCGTCAAGCCCTTGGCATTCAACGTTGGTCCCGCATTTTGAGAGTGAGTTGGTAAAGAATAGAACCATCTCTTGGTCTTGATGTGTGCGTGCTAGGTGGGATGTTGGTCGCAGTACTGCTATCGAGCCTCCTTGACTGACGCGCGTTGAGCTGCCGTTGCACATTGCTAGACTCTGGTGAAGGAGACCTGAAGGATACAGAGAAATAACCTCGGCCTTTCAACAGTAGAAGAGTGACGATGGAAGAGCGTAGTTGGGTGAATGGACAGTGTGTAAGTATACGAGTGTAGGAAGTCAAGCCTGAGATCGATCGGCGCCGAGGGGTAGGAAATTGCGAGCGAATGATTGTCGATGGTAGCAGAGGTGCAAAGGCTTTGTAGTCTACGCACTGTTTCAGCGGCATGTGTTGCAATGTTTGAGATTTGAGAGTGAATGCGTGTCTTTGAGCAAGTTTCGGAAGAGTACCCGATTGGTCAAGCTCGGGCGCTAAGATCCACCATGGTGCTCTTCAGTGAAGGTACGTATGTATGTCAAGTTGCGATCGCAAAACCATCATATCATTCACATCGTTTCGTGCTGTCCCTACATGAGGTCTCCGCCCGCTTACATAGAAGCCTTGAGAACGCTGAAAGCATCGGCGCGCGATCCTCGGTAACGCTCCTCCGCCGTCTTCCAGTTGATGACATTCCAGATGTTTTTGACATATGCAGCTTTGCCGTTCTGGTACTGAAGGTAGTACGCATGCTCCCACTATATGTCAAATTAGTCGCCTGTGGCCTCAAGGGTCGAAGAGCCAGCAACTCACCATATCAACACCGAAGATCGGAACTTCGCCCTTGCCAACGACAGGATCTTGGTCCTTGGTCGTCACAATGGACAGCCTCTGCTCTTTGCCCATGTCGGTCTTGACCAGCCAGCCCCAACCACTTCCCTGAATGCCGAGCAGAGCGGCGTTGAAGGCTTCCTTGAACTTGTCCTCGTCACCCCATGTCGCCTTGATCTGCTTGAGCAGCTCAGGTGCAGCGGAGCTCTTGGCCTCATCCGAGCTTGCAGGTGCGAGGTTCTGCCAGAAGAGGGAGTGGTTGATGTGTCCGCCTGCGTTGAACTTGATTCCCTGTTGTATGGAGACCTGCGAGGTGATGTCCGAGGTAGAGACAGCTTCGGCCTGGGTCTTGAGAAGACCGTTCAAGTTCGTGATATAGGTTTGATGGTGCTTGCTGTGATGCAGCTCCATGATCTGGGCGGAGATGTGCGGTTCCAATGCCTATGAACTATGAGCATACTGTGCGTGGGGTAATAAAGTCATCTCAGGCTATACTAACATCGTAGGCATATGGTAACGGAGGAAGCGTGTATTGGGGTGCAGACATGGCGCCAAATTCGAAGGGCTGTTGTTCTGAAGCAAAGACTGTGGATGTAGAGAGAAGAGGAAAGAGAATGGTTGGGAACGTCGATATGCCCCGCATCCTGCCTGCCCCTCACGCAATCGATACGTATAGAAGCCGGGTACGTTCGTCAGACTGCCAGGTCGTCACCAACAGGGTGCTCTGGATGTATGCTGCCCAATTGGGTCTAGTGCACTAGAAACTGCCTCAATTGAGCGCGATGCCACTCAAATGCTCCACTATGTCTGTACTGAAATCGAAACACAGGTAGACGACGTATAGACCGACGTTGTATCAAATTTTTGTAGCAATACCTGCTGATTTGACAGAGAGAAGAACGCGCGATGGCCAGCTACAGGTAGCTGTTCAGGTGTGAATAGCCTTAATGGCGAGGCAGCAAACAGGAGGCGATGCCAATGCTCGCATTAATGACGGATTAAAGTTAGCACAGCTCTTGTTGCGCAACTTGACGGAGATACGATGTAACGACGGCGCGGTGTTGGGTGGGAGATGAGGTGAGGGAACGGCAGTACGTGTTGTTCCGGTCGGACCTCGGGGATTCCGAAGTTGACGCCGTTGTGAAACACGATCTAAGCTCGGTTGAGCTTAGCTTGATGTCGTGATCGTCACAAATCGATTGATACTGCGGACGAAGAAAGTAACTCTAGTGCGATGGTTGTACCAACGAGGCTACACATGCCTCTCGTTGGTGAGCGATATCGCTACAGCGGCAGATGCTTCAACACATGCCTTTGTAGTCCCTCCTTCTCAGCTTCAACTGCGCATTCGCTCGCAGTCCATTCCTCCTGTCTCCTCTTTCGGCGTCAACATCCCTGTCTCCAGCTAACAGCATCTGCCTCTTTATAGCTGCTTCACTTTCCGTCGTGAGAGTACCACACCTGCACCCATACCTCATGCGCGACATTCTCGCTCTCTTTCTCTTCTTCCACATTTTCCTGCCTTTTTCCCAGTCAAACTCGAAGCTTTTCGCCTCCATATCCTCTGCGACTAACTCTATTACTTCGTGCGGGTCGGTAGGGGCATGCATGTGGGTGAAGCGCATGTGCCTGGTCTCGATCGTGCTACAACCCAGTGCCCTCATTTGGTCGACGAAACGAGGAGGCGGTGACTGAGCACGATCACACCGATCACGGGCCGGCGCCCTGTGCTTTCTGGGTTTACCGATGGCTTTCACTTCTTCTTCACGGGCAGGACTCTCCCAACGGTCGAGCATGACATATGCGTCCCGCCCCAGCGTAACAAGTTCGCCGTGACTATCACTCTCGAGGAGCACAAAGCCGCCAAGTTTCCGTTGGTCAATAAACGGGTTGTGTCTCTCAGTGCACATCGCCATGCTCGGACTGGACTCGATCTGATCGCGTTGCTTCTCAGTGAGCTTGCCCGGAAACTGCATCAAAGTGACACTCGGCCAGGATCGAGCTAACCGGGCGCCTCCAGAGTAGCAACCGGGCATGTCATACTGTATGATCTTTGTTTTCACTACTGAGGATGACAGCAACTCCAGCTTTTGATGGAAATGGCGATGTCTGTCCATGTCGACATGCGCATCGTACGCAGATTTGTGGGTCCAGGATATCCATAGGTATAGTTCAGACGGCTGCTCTAGGACGCGACTCCAGTCACACTCTTGTACCCCGTCACACCTCTTCAGATCAATGAGAGCCCGAAGCACGGTACGCCATAGTTGATTGGACTGTGAGCTTGCGTAATGTATGCTTTCTGGCGCGGTGATTGTGATCCATTCGCATACATTATTGGTGATGTCGAGATCGCGTGTGTCGGACATTGTTGAACGTTGGCAATTAGGCTGGTGTCTGAGAAAGCTGTTGCAATGGAAAATGTTGTCAGCTGCATGGATACTTATGCGTGCGCGAAATGTTTTCGCAACCGGTGGTACCAAGGTACACGCGTGCGTTGGTACCCGCGATCGTGAGCAGTTTGTTCGCTACCGGAATCGCCAGCCAATCAGGTGGTAGCTATATGTGACTCGCATCTGTAGTACGCACATTTGGACCTCATCATTGGATGGAAGCCGGCCTAGGTCTTCAGCTCGAAAATCGTCACCTATGTCACCTCTTATTCCGAAATAAGAGTCCTGGGGTCGTCTCATCGAGCGTTTGAGCGTTAGCCAGACTTTTTGTGAGACATTGACAACTGTAATACCAGGACTTCTATGAAAGTACGTTCTACCCATGCCTTTTATCCAACTAAACGGATTGCCATTGATATTGTTTCGCCTATTGCGGCGAATCAATTGAATTGTTCATTTCCAATCTGACGCACACATGCTGGAAAAGAGCTGAAGTGATGGTTTGGAACGACATATTATATTCACATAAAGCTATCCTTGTGCCACTTGGCTACATCAGAATGAAGATATGGAGGTGACTGATTAGGTCAAGGACTTGAAAAGACGCATCGACGTGAGGTTGCATCGCGAGAAGTAGACGAATTGTTCAAGAGAGTCAACACGGCAGATGCATCGCTTCCAGTGCTAAAACAGTCCCCCTTTCACGGTGTGTTGCTCCGGTGACGAGCTGATCCGGCGGTCCAGTCCCAGTAGTCACCCTCCTTGAAAGGATTAACGCTGAGCCAATAAGCGAATGCAGCAAATGCATAGGGCTCTGGTGCAGTCGTCATATCTTCAGCGGGCTTCATTTGCGAATTAGGCGGCGGATTAGCGTATTTAAGCACATTGAGCGCTCCGTCTGGCAAGATAGTTAGATAATTCCTTCAACGCTGGGATATTGCATGATACATACATGCCATCTTCCATGCGCCTCCCACTTCAACTTCATCCGGTGTAATTTCGGAGCCCATGACAGCATGCACTGCCTCGTGCAGGAACGTCAAGACTGTAGGCTGACGATCTGAAATTTTGGCCAATGGCGTCACAGGCCCATTTGTCTGGTGGATCGAATGACATGAGAATTCTTTAGTCGTTTGAAAGGCGGAAGGACAGAATGTGACCGTCAGTCTCTTTTTGTTCGACTGTGGAAAGCGTGTTTCGGGACCTTTGGGCGCGTATTCGTACGTGAGACCCAAGATTCTGCCTGAATTACACACGTGTCGATCTCCGGTATCTTTCGAGACTGGGTACTTTTGGGCATGATAGAAGTATGACTTCCAAAGCGGTATCCAGTAAGCGTACAGCTTCCCTGATAACACCGCCTCCATTAGCGACGCGATTCCAGGCTTTGGGCATCAGATGTAGTGCACCACTTACAATCTCTACCCTTAGGCACTTGCAGATCGTTGATCTCTCCGTCAGTTGTGGCTAGTGGGTAGTCGTTCGAATCGTGTATGTTCAAATATCGTTTCTTTCCAGAACTGTCGACCTCGTACTCGATCTTCCCTGTCGACCGATGGTGTACATAGTCTGTTAGCGAGTGCCAATCGGAACCGCAGAATATGTAGCGATCGGGCTTCTGGACTTTATAGGGGAAGGTCAGCTGGTTGTCAAGCATTGCTTGAAGCTTGTTGAAAGTGTCTATCACAGTTGCTTTTTAGCTGTGTTCAGAAACATAGAAGGTACTATTGTGGCTATGCTTACCCCGAATAAGGAAGAGCTTGTCCAGATCATTGGTGACGACCTGATTTGTCTGGGCGTCAAAATGAATGCCAAACCATGCTGATAAGCTTGCGCGCAACATTCGTCCCTCACGATCAGTCGCATGTAGCCTCGTGTTGTCTTGAAGAACCGAATTCAGCGGCACGACCAAAGTCCTCGTATCTGTCCACCATGTGCGCAGCACTTGCAGATAGGTGTCAGTACTGTCTTTGATAGTTCTGTGACATCCTTCGAGGGTCCAGACGTCGGTAATGACGGGATGTAGTGCTGTGGTCACCGCGGAAAGATTCCATAAGGCTTTGGCATCGCCCCATGTCACCTCCAAAGCACTGACAGCCAAAAACAGAAGTGAAAGAAGAAGTAAAGGCAGTAGTTGCCTGCTGGAAGAGGCCATCGAATCTTTAGATAAGTTTATGACAAAGGACAAGAAGTAATGGAACTCTGAGGTAGGAATTTCCTGGAGAATATGATGCCGGTGTATTGCGGGGTCTTTGTACTTTCGCACCATTGGATCGTCTAGATACGAATGTGTTTCTGATGATTTCTGCTGGTAATATTAAGATACTAATCATTTCGAGCTCTGAGGCGCATAGTGTGATGATACACCGACGACCTACTGTCAACCAAAGTCTTAGCAGTATGTGATGGTGCTTCTTCAACAAGCCACAGATATAAGCGCTAAGACGAGAACTCCCTAGGCACCTCTATGACTGTCTTGATACCTTGGATTATGTTATTCGGAAACCAAACCCATTCCAATAGCTCAACCACATCTACATATAGTCGCGAGGCATTCAATGTACGTTCCTCAAGCTCTCTTATTTGAGAATCCTCTGGCTTGATACTCAGGTTTCATGGCGTTAGTGACTGCTCAAGAAATATCGGCGTCACAATCCTGTCAGTGAGTTGCCGTGACATCTCGATAGCAGCTGGGCAGTTCTCGTGTTCCGTCAAGGCGACCTCAGAGAAAACCTTGAGAAGCACTTAATCAAGACCTGTGTATGCACACTGGCATGCGAAAAGTGCGTTTCTACGAGACTTCCCAAATGAAGTGCTGTCGCGCTCATAATAATTCTCAATCCGATCTTCATGATGTCTAATAAAAGTTATCGGAGTGCATGTGGCTCATTTGCCTCGTGTTACCGTAGTGCATGAGTAACACCTGTGTTTTGACGCTATGGAAGATTTCACATCGTACTCTCGAGTAAAAAGCATGCTTGTCGATGATTGGTGTCGTCGTATGTGATCATGTGAACGGTACAGCAATGTACCCAGTGAGCATACAAAGCTGGTCGAAATGATCGCACCCAAAGACGTAACTGGACGAATTGATAGGTCACAATTGACGGTACCTAGCTTGTTTTCGATTGCGAAGCAAGTAACTGCACTGGGTCTCTAGGCAACGCTCTTTCGACTCTTTGAGTTTATGGTCGTCCTCTGTTGAGAGCTCTGAACATACGAGTGTTACTCGTGTCGCGACTGTGGACCTTGATCTTAATGAGCCCAAATAGAACTGGTCTGCTCTGGTACTAAAGCGCTGTCTGACTGGTGATAACTATCGTACCGACCCCTCACATGCTTCGGCGAGCTATCGCGCATCAGCGACTAAGGGGATTGATAGAGTGTATCTAGGTAAGTTGATGCAAAGGTAACATGATGTTCATGATTTGCACTGTGAAACACTATCTATGTGACGTGACCCACGCTCTCCTCCGCGCTGAACGATACCCACCTAGGTAGACAGTCAAGTCACGAACCTCTATATTAAAATCAAGGAATCTCATCTATCTAGAGGACACACTGATGCCAGCTCTGAGGAGATCGAGACAGTCTCTCGCCGAACGGCCACCATGTTCACGACTCGCTTGCTGCCGATTTTGACAGCACTGTTGCTTTGCCATGCACACGAGCAGGTGCTTCCAGAAGCTTTGACTTACTTTTCGACATCGTACTTTACTTTCACCACGGATGGGCTGCCAAGTCTGTCTCGTTTTACCATCTTCAGTAACTCCTCTTCGACTCGCCATTCTCCCAGCTCGACCCCCACTGACAGTTCATACACGAGCCTTAGTTCGACTGAAACTTCATCGGAAGGCTCCATACTCTCGTCGGTATTCACTGACCGAACTTCAATGAGCTCATCTTCCGCGCCCACGGCCTCTCTATCGACAGATCTCTCCACCGTTTCGAGCTCGACGACACTATCGACGTCGTACAAAGAGGGTCACAGTTTAACCAGCTCAGACGCATTGATAATATCCAGCTCGTCCACCTCGACGCCCGCTCCCGCATCCTCAACGACCTCGACCTCCTTCGATGCCACTAGTACAGTAACGAGCTCAGTGCCTATACCGACCACCAAAGCCTCAGCGGAGATTAGTTCGACCTAAAATAGTGGCAAAAGTGGCTCTTCAATGCAAGAGTCGTCTGCGACTAGCGATTCAGTGTCCACCAGTGGAGACCACTCGACCGCTGCAGATCTAACACCAACGCTTTCAGCATCCACTTCTGCTATCACATCCTCCGGAGACGCTGTGTTCTCTACAAGCTCTCATGGCGCCGAAGGGAGCTCATCTATACTACCCGGAATCGTTACTACTAGCTCGATCGCTCTAGGGACCGCGACCTTGGACTCATCCGCCACTGAAGCGCTTATTAGTGCTCGCGCGCTTCAAACATCAATCGACGCGCTGATCGAGCAGCTCAGAGGGAGAGAGCAAGAGCAAGAAACCGAAGATGAACTCGATACTCTGTTAGCATGGGTGTGGGGGTTCTTCGCTAAATTGCGACCGAAGCCTGGTGACGACGACGACGACGACGATGCCACATGCCTGTCTCACAACATCATTACCGCACTATTTCGAGCCACTCGATGCATAGCCGATACTATCCAGGCTATAAAGGCGCGTATTCATGTCGTTGGTGTTGATCTCAGCCCCGAGTTAGATGGCCTTTCCAAGCTGATCAATGGTGGTCATCCAACCTTACCTGGCTACCCGCCGTTACCCGACAATCCTGCGCCATCACTTACACTTCCGAGTGCATCAACACCCACGGGGCTATCGTCGTCTACTTCGTCGAGCAGCTGCTCTCAAGTGACTGCCACTGCATGCAGTGCCCTCTGTGACGGAAGCGGGCAGTGTTCAACAACGTGTACATCAACGTACACAGGATGTAGCGTGACCAACACGTTCGCCGCATCGACTGTCGAGTATGCCTATGGCGCATTAATGACTGGTACCCCAGACGATGATATGAGTGCCATTGAGACTCACTCGCCTCAAGAAGCCCGGCTTATTTACGACGGGGCCTACGTCATATCACACGTCAATATCACACTAGTCATCTGCGCTCAGCCCTTCTACCCTCAGGGCAATCCCGATTTTTGGATGACCCGGGAAAGCCTGCAAATGGCTAGGGACGCCTTTTGCTCGTGGATGTCCAACCACAATGATGCCAACAGAGTAGGTATAGAATATCCTTGGTCCGCTCGTGTGGAAGATCCGATCGTGATCTGTAGATCTGAGTTACTAGGCTCAGATTGCGATGAGAATACACCACAAGGCGCATGGTCTGAGGATCTATGCAAGTCTACCATTGATCGTATCATTGATGGATGTAAGTTTGTGTTTCAATCGTCTGATAATGCCATGCTTACCCATGTCCAGGCCACACGAGTGACAACGGCTTCCACCACTGGAAAGCCGGTGGCTATTACAACGATGCATGTGTTCACCTGGGCATCGAGCGAGGTACTTGGGATGGGTCTCACGATAGCTGGGCAGCGATGAAGAGACTAGGCGACAAGTACAGACCTCGTGCTCTGTGTGGCCACGATAAAGAATGTACCGTGGATGCGTGTCGTGCTGGGTTCATCGGGAAGGCTAGGTGCCTCAATGATGTTACCACGGATTTGAGTAGATGTTATTGCTGTTCGGGTTCGGAAGAAGGCAAGGAATGCGTTATTGACGTCGAAGCGTGAGGGTAGTTTCTCGGAAAACGCTGTCCTTTCTTTATCGCCATCGGTGGTCAGGTTAGTCAACATGTAATTAGAACATTCGACTCGCATTTTGTTCCCGAGATCTGCTTGCACATTCTGAACGCTCGTATGTGATATGTATGAACATAAAAGAATTGCCTTCAGAAAGCTTCCGTTTGACGTGCTGCCGATAGCCTTTGAAGATAATGTCTGTTAGGCGGTGAATGACTGTAAAAGACCACGGTCGCCGACTGTTTAACCCTCTCCCTAATGTACACGCCTAAAGTCGCTCGCGAAAGCGCTTTAACCTAGAGCGTAAAGCCTAGAGGCGATTGTATAAAGCTATGCGCTTAGCTTATTTTTGGGCGCCTCCTAGATTGTTCAAGCTCTTGTGTTGACGATACTTCTCTTTTCGAGAGGACCTGATTGTATGGGTGCATATGGATTTCGGAAGTTGTGAGTCGCTCGTTGCGATGGGTCCCTAGATTGTTAAAATACCCGGAAATAACTCCGCTTTGACGTGCAGCCGATGGCTTTTGGACACGGGTCTATTAGACTGTGAGTGCCGCTAAAATACCACTGCCTCCGACTTCCCACATCTCTATCCTCAACTCCCCGGACTCCAAGGCTGTCCAATAGCCTTCCTAAACCCCCCTTCAAACACATCAATCGTCTGATTCATATTCATCCCGCTCGCAATCGCCAGTTGCAGCATAATCCTCGCTTGAATAGGATGCACAAATCCCGACTTCGCAAAGGTCGGTGTCCGCGCCGGACTAGACGGACCATGCGGACTGCGCGTTCCAACAACGACTTGAAGCCCTTTCTCCAGCGCCTCGGTAATCTCGTCTCCGCCATTCGGCACACCGCCGTTACCTGTGCCGGCAATGACGACACCGTCTGCGCCGTTGGCATGCGCATCCAGTAGCAGCTTGCCATCGAACTCGCGGGCCGCGTAGAGTATATCCACTTTCGGCAACGTCGGATACGTCGGATACGCACTCACAGTCCCAATATCGAAATAATACTTCCACAGCGGCTGACTCGGCGTATTAAAGAAAACCGGCAAACTGTTGATGAAAATACCCAAATCACCACCAGACGTAGGACCAAAAGCATCCGGATTAGTCGAATGCAATTTCGTTACCCAATACCCAGGTATGATGCGTGCGTTGAACGCTACCATAAGTCCTCTATTCCTTGACTCAGGACTCGCAGCCAACATAACCGCGTCGAAGAAATTCGCTTCTCCGTCCCAGGAGAGGTGGGTGAAGGGTCGCATGCTGCCTGTCCCCACAATGGGCTTCCCGCAGTTGACGAGTGAGTCCATGAGGAAAGCTGTTTCTTCGAGCGAGTTCGTGCCGTGCGTGTATACAGCGCCTACGATGTCGCTGTCGGGTGAACATAGCGCGTCGTGTGCGAAGCGCGTCATGTTCATGACTAGAGCGTCGTTTGTGCCGGTGGAGCCATCGTCTTCTGTGGTCCAGTTGGACACGGCGAGTTGCGTGTTGTTGAGCAGGTACGGGTTGCGTGCTATGATGTCTTCGCCTGTTTGGCTGAGCTGCCCGTATTGCGTGTCGTCGAGCGCGCCGTAGATGGAGCCGCCGGCTATGGTACCGCCGGTGAAGAGGACGCTGGGGGCGGTTTAGATGGGAATATGGGTGTTGGGATTTTGTGTTGCACGTACAGGACTTTGGGGAGACTGCTGTTACCGCCTAGCCATGTTAGACCGAGTCGTTCGCTAGCGGTTGTTGCTTGACGGGGTTGGGAAGCTGTGGGTGCGGCGTTGCCGACCACGCTCAAAGAAGCAGTAATTGCGATATTGAAGAACCGCATGATGCTTGACGATCAACAAAAAAAAGACCCAACATTGTACACTTTGTACTACTTGTACCTTTATACTTTCACCCATCCCACTCTTGCCGTCGCCCAACTCCTCCGCTTACATCCGCGGGCATTTTGATCTGACATATCGCCGATGGCGAGCCGTGTCTTCTCATGTAGCATCACGACATCGTGCATGTTACTGTCTTGGCCATGTATATATGAGGAAGGTGTGAAGCTTGTGCTGCGAGTAGTCATGGAGTTGTTACCGTTCCTGCGTTATCGTCGAGAGATGGGCGAAGCTAGGCTGTATCAAGGGCTGGGCAAGGCCCCACGTTTGCCAAGAGCGGGGTCGGTAACTAGAGACCTCGTTGCGCCCTCTCGTACTAACGAGAACGTCGGAGGTCTAAGGTCTAAGGTCTGCTGTTACCACGACCTAGACCGAGAAGGAGATGAAGTTAGGGCGCTGCGAAGACTAGGTTATTTCCGGGTCTCTCAACAAGCCGAGAGGCGCTCGAGTGGAAGCTACGCGCAAGCTATCGGCATCACGTCAAGGCAACTGGACAGCATTGAAGTCCGGTGAGTTGAGGATTGAGATGTGTTGTTAGATATATGATATGAGTGAGATGGTAAGAGAAATGGTAAATGAGATCTGACCCTCCATCGCAAGCCCTCGAAACTCTTGGTCTAGATCACAACTCTATCTCCATTACACCAGGGTTCCCAGGAGGAATACTCACGTGCGAACTCACTTCCCCTCCTCCCACCACCTCCCCCCATCCCACCCCTTCCCGGCACTCTTCCCCTTCCCATCCTTCTCACTCTCATGCTTATGAAAAAACGCAAACTCCTTCCCAATATCACTCAACCCATCCCCCGCATCATTAACCAACATACCCTTACCCGGTCTCGCCATGAAATACGCATAACGATGGATATCCTGCGAGTTATCCATCCACGGCATGACGTCGTCCAGGAACGCCCTGATCTCGTCGTCGGTGCCTTCGGCGCGGAATTCGGTGACCCAGATGGGGAGGCCGCGGGCGACTTTGCGCGCGTTGGCGATGTGGTCTTTGAAGTTTTGGGCGGAGTTGGGGAGGGTGTTGTACCTATGCGAAGTATTTAAGTATTGGTATGGCTGAAGGAGTTGGTGGTTCTGTAGAGGGTATTAGAGACTCACCAGTGGATGTTGATGAAGTCAATGGTACATCCATCGCAGGCTTCTATGAACTTGGCTAGCCAGCCCAGACCTGTGGTATCAGAGGCTGCGGCATTGGTGACAGCGGGCGAACCGAGATACATCGCGCTGTTGAAGTTGGACAACGGTTCCATGTGTTTCTTCCAACCAGCAACGGCGGTGGGGACGTCGATGCAAGAACCGCCTGCGTCAGGACTTTTACTATCATCAGCACAACCTCCAACAACCACACCTGTTCTCACCGAAAGCAAAGACTGTACTTACATGCAGTTATCCGGCTCATTAAACCCCATCAACCACGTCGCGAACCCATTATCCTCGAAATTCTTCCTCGCCATCGCCTCGGCATTGTCTTTCCACCTTCCCGTATGATCGTCGCGCAGTGAATGCAGCATGGGGATGAAGCGGAACCAGGCAGGTGAGAGGGCGGATGAGGAGTCCCAGTTGAAGCGCCAGGTTACGTGGGTTCCATCGCCTTGGAAGAGCTTGTTGTAGGCGACGTCGTTGTAGGCTACGCCGCGGCGTTCGTGGGCGGGGGTTTGGGTGAGGGGGTCGTGTTTGGGCTTGCTGCCTTGGGTGTCGGCGGGGGTGTCGGAGGGGAGGGCGAGGGGGGTCGCGGTAGTGAGGATGGCGAACAGAAAGACTAGGATAAGGGCGAGGAGTTTCATGGTGGGCGAGGAGATCGAGGTAGAGACTGGGTGGAGAGAGGGAGTGGTGAGCTTGGGGCAATCGATGGTCTTGAATGGTGGTGTGAAATTGACGCAAAGGTAGTAAGTGAGTGGATCTTGTGAAGGGGTTCTGTGAGAGAATGTGGAGGAGTAGATATATTAGTATGTGAGCAGATTATAGGTCGATGGATCACGCTCGCTGGCCTAGCGCTGATAACGCCTTCGCAGAGGTAAAGTTGGTAACTTTGACAAACGCTTGAAGTAGAGCTCGGTCACGACCCGGGTGAGTAGCCGAAATGATTGACCTAGAGAATTCAGGCTTCACTGGCGGGCGGCGGTGCGAAGGCGGTGGATGCAATCAGAAGACTACCAATGCGATTGTTCGGGGGTGATTAGGCCAAGACGTGTGGCTTAAAATGTATTTCGTTCGTTTGTTAGAAGTCGCGAAATGACAATGTTGAGTGGAAGATGACGGACCGCTGTCTCTCCTTCACCTCACTAGCGCTTGAGCAGTGTAGCTCGCTGTCCGCTATTGGCGGCGCATGCCCAGGTCCGGAGTGAAAGGTGAACCACGGTGATTGATCAAAGTGAGGAGGCGTGCCAAAAATCATCGAGGCGTCCAAATATTGGTATACACATGAAGTACATGATACATAGCTCTATGCCGAGCTTACATCTTACCACCAGTAAGCTCCTCGGCCACCTTCTTGACGCGCTCTTTGGCAAGTCCAACACCCTCGCCGCCCTTGAGCTTGTTGAGCATATCGCCGACGCCCTCTGGTAGCGGTCCATCCCATGGGCTGAGACCGTTCCTGCCGTCTTCTCTTGGGCCCATGACGCCCCTGGCGTCCCAAGCAACAGGCTGCTCATCAGAGCCGAAGACCTTCTCTATCGCCTCGTCTAATTGTTGTTCGTCCACGATGAACTTCCGCGCGTTGGTGTATAGATCGTGTAGGCGGGAAGCGCGGATTTCCTGTATCCGGGCTACTCGGCGCTGGTATGCTCGGCTCCGGGCCTTTGTGATGTCGGGCCGTGGGGGCAGGCTGTCGGTGAGGAAGTCGCGAATGCCCTTGGCGACAGATGTCTCAGTTAAGATGTCGACTTCGCGCCGTGGTGCCGTAGCCAATTCTCGCCTCTTCGCACCGATGGCCTGGATCTTGGCCATGTACTCGGCCTCTGATGTGACCTTTCGCTCGTGCAGCGCCTTGACACCCTCCTTCAGGTTCTCTCTCCGCTTCTCCGCCAGCCTCTGCTTGTATAACCGGTAGTCGACATCCCGGCTGTATGGTCCGGGGGCCTTGACTTCTTTGGGCTCCTTCGTACTCCGGTCGAGGAAGATGTACGACTCCTTCGGGTGCTTGTTCCTCGTCTTGAAGACATCTCTTGGGATGGGGAGGTGACCCTTTACTGCTGGCTTGGCTGGGTATGTGGGCTGCAGCGGCTTCGGCACGTCGATGTAGTTTGGCGACTGCGGACCGAGGGCGAGAGCGGAAGGTGTGGAGGAGAAGGCACGCACACACAGGCTGCTACTCCAGCCATTGGCGGCTGCAGAGGGTCCGACGGGTATCCTGGGCGGCATTGCGGTGGTCCTGCCTCGTGCACTGGAATGCGGCGATGCGGAGGTGCGGCGGTCGTGTCGTCGCGCCTGCTTCGAAATTGTCGGTGCCAAGCCCCTTGGCCCCACTCTGGCTAGCTCCCGCCTCTCAAAAAAAGTTGCCCATGCCTCGCGAACTCTACTCTTCACTCTTCCCAACCCGCCAACACCACAGGAAGCAGTCGCCATGGGTGTCCAGAAGAAAGAGTACAACCGCAAGGAGCGCGAGGGCAAGACGGGCGATGGCATGGGAAATGTCAAGACCAAGGGCGCCAACTTCTACCGGTATGTCGCGCACTCTTTTTGCGCCAGGGTCTTTGTGCACAGGTATACTGACAGTTTGTTAGTGATGCGAAGAAGGTCAAACTTCTCAAGCGCCTCACAGGTGGCACAGCCGAGCGCAATGCCAAGGGAGACATCACCAAGGCCGCCGTCTACCAGAACCGCGCGGCGCCTGTCGCCCGTGTCGAGCCCAACAGGAAGTGGTTCAACAACACGCGAGTGATATCGCAAGATGCCCTCGACAGCTTCCGCTCGGCCGTGGAGGCGCAGTCCTCAGACCCGACCACGTTCCTGATGAAGCGCAACAAGCTCCCCATGAGCTTGATCGAGACACCAGGTCAGATCCCAGGCCTCAAGCAGCACGCAGCCAAGATCGCTGTTGGCAGCCAGCCTTTCTCAGAGACATTCGGCCCCAAGGCTCAACGGAAGCGCCCGAAGCTCGACTTCAGCTCCATTGAGGATCTGGCTGGTCGCACAGGAAGCATGCACGAGACCTACGTGGAGCGCCTCGAGAACGCCAAGCTGCTCTCGGGCACGTCTGGTGAGGCAGAGCAGAACGAGTCCTTCGCCGACAACCCCAACGGCGAGCTTACGTCTGCGCGCGAGTTTATCTTCATGAAGGGCACGTCGAAGCGTATCTGGAACGAGCTGTACAAGGTAAGCTTTCAAGCATCACCTCTCACAAGCCGTGTCTAACATACCCCAGGTCATTGATTCCTCTGATGTCATTCTCCATGTCCTAGACGCCCGCGACCCTGATGGCACCCGTTGCCGCTCCGTCGAAAAATACATCCGCACCGAGGCTCCCCACAAGCATCTGGTCTTCGTCCTCAACAAGGTCGATCTTGTTCCCTCCAAGGTTGCTGTAAGTACACGCCCCCTCTTCACCCCCTACACCATCCACACCCTCCTTAAGTCAAGGACCTTTTCCTATTCCATGAATACGGTTCTGTTACAAGTTGGGAAGAGCAAAAGTGGCTCGCTGGCCTAAGATCGTCTTGATCGCGGGTCGATTGGCAACCGTCTTGGTTGCCGATCAATAGAGTCACGCGTGATTTGTTTGAGTTGAGGACCGTCTCTGCACTAGCAGCTTCATGGCGGTACTCTTAGTAATATTTCGCACATTCCGTCATCGCCGTACATTATCATGTCAAGTTGATGACTACGCACTGACACTTGACAGGCTGCATGGGTTCGTCATCTCAGCAAAGAGTTCCCGACACTTGCTTTCCACGCCTCCATCAACAACAGTTTCGGTAAGGGTTCTTTGATCGCCCTTCTGCGCCAGTTCAGCTCTCTCCACAGCGACCGTAAACAGGTCTCCGTGGGTATGGTTGGCTACCCAAACACCGGTAAATCGTCCATCATCAACACTCTGCGGAAGAAGAAGGTGTGCGTCGTCGCGCCCATCGCCGGTGAAACCAAGGTCTGGCAATACATTACCTTGATGAAGCGCATCTACATGATCGACTGTCCTGGTATTGTACCACCAAACCAAAACGACACCGATACGGATCTGCTGCTCCGCGGTAGTGTACGTGTCGAGAACGTCGAGTACCCAGCACAATACATCGAAGAGGTTCTGAAGCGTGTACAACCGCGACATCTCCAGCGAACGTACGATATTAAAGATTCAGACTACAAGGGCGATGCTGTCGCTTTTCTGGAAAACTTGTGCCGGAAGAGTGGTCGTCTCCTCAAGGGTGGTGAAGCTGACATTGACGGCGCTGCGAAGATGGTTTTGAACGACTGGATAAGAGGAAAGCTTCCTTGGTTCACTCCACCACCATACAAGGAGGGTGAGGAAGCGGTGAGCGGACCCATCAACGCGAAACGTGAAGGCAAGCTTGGTGAGATGAGCAAGAAGCGAAAGCGAGGTGGTGAGAGCGAGGCCGGTGAGAAGGCTGGTACGAAACAAGACGAGTCCGACTACGATAGCGACTTTAGTGGTTTCAGCGACGAAGACGGCCTGCAAATAGATGGCGAGGATGATGATGAGGAAGAGGTGTCCGATGACGACGAAGAAGGTGGCACCACACTCGAGGCTGCCGACGATGAAGAAGCCGCCGACGTCGATGCGGAAAGCGAGGACGATGAGGTGGTGGAGAAAGAGCTCGCTGCCATAACATCGGCGCTTTCCAAGGCGAAGAAGCGGCAAAAGACCACGTAAGGTCAAAAAGATAGTTAGTTTATGATTCAAATGATACCCCGATATTACGATGTCTCAATCATGAAACAGTCCCAACCATACTCAACCTGTCAGTATCGACCTTCTTTTCATCACCCCGTGCCTCAACGTCTTATTTGTGCGACACGATTACAAACGATCCTATCGTGACACAGGCAATCCTTTGGTCACACGTCACACAGTGGTCCGGATAGGTTAGCTGGTGGAGTGGCTAACGAAAAGATGGAAGGATCACAAACCCAGGCACAACATGGGTCATCATGCAGCCCGCCGCCTCGCCACCACGCCTCGCGGGTGCCACCTGTCAGCAGTTCGGCAGACGTTCGTCCGACGGATGAGGGGCACGAAGTACTACTAGCATCCCGACAACTCGTCGCGACAATCAGACTGCAAGGCTAGTGTTCCCTATTCCTCAATCATCACAACGCTCGATTTCCCCAGACTTAACCATGGCCGCCAATCCAACTCCAAGCAAAGCTGCTCTCTCCCTGCTCGACAACATCGCTTCCCTCAGCACCGGCTTCAAAAATGGCGAAAGCGGCGCAAGAGAAGGCTTACTAGACGCATGCCGTAGCCTCATCGCAGAAGCCAGCCACCCATCCGAAAACATGCTCCACATACTCTGGGCGCAACCCACCCACCTAACCACCCTCTGGCTAGCCGTCGAGATAAACCTCTTCCAAGCCATGCGCACCATCCCAAACACCGGCGCCAGCAGCCACTCCATCGCAAAGGCCTGCTCCAAAAACTGCTCCAAAAACGTCGACCCCATCATCGTCGCACGCATGCTGCGCCACCTCGCCGCCATGGGCACGATCCGCGAAACAGGACCCGATACTTTCGCCAACACACCCACATCCCGTGCTTTCGCCGAGCAAGCATACCAAGACTCCATTCTGTTCATCGCAGAAGACTTCCAGCCTGTGCACCACTCCATGAAATCTTATTTCTCAGCCAGGGACTGGAAGTGTCCTGACAGCGGTCTTGACGCGCCGTTCCAGCACACTTACAATTGCAAGGGGAGTCATTACTTCGAGTACATGCAGCGCCGTAATCCTGAGATGGGGAGGAGGTTTGCGAGTATGATGGCGAGTTGGAGTAAGGGGAGGCCGAGGTGGTTTGAAGGGGGGTATTATCCGGTACAAGAGAGGTTGGTTGAGGGGGCGGAGGCGGGGAAGACTTTTTTGGTTGATGTGGGAGGTGGGAGTGGACATGATGTTGAGGGGCTGAGGGAGGCGTTTGAGGGACGGTTACCGGGCGGGTTGGTGTTGCAGGATAGGCCTGAGATCGTTGGGCTTGCGAGGCTTGGGCATGGTGCGCAGGCTATGTCGCATGACTTTATGACGGAGCAGCCTGTTAAGGGCGCGAGGGCGTACTATTTGCATTCTATCATTCAGGACTGGAACGACGATGTTAACACGGAGATTCTGAGAGCGATTGTGCCGGCTATGACGAAGGGGTATTCCAAGGTTCTTGTTAACGACTTCGTTGTGCCGGATCAGGGTGCGCATTAGGTGCAGAGTAAGTTCTCTATTCTTATTGCTTAATAGTGTAATAGTGTAATAGTTTGCTAATGCGTAGTAGAGGTTGTTCCTTCGCGTTTAGCCTATATAAGATATATATAAGATACACATTTACCTAAATATAGATTTTATTACTTAATAGCTACTACTATCTTAAACTATTTTATTTTTTTTAAATAATTTATAAACTATAACTATAAAAAATATTATTAATATAGACTTTCTAAAGCTTATAGTTAAAAATAATACTTACTATATATTTTATTTTAAAATTTATTAGCGTATAGCTAGGCTATTAAAGTTAATAAAGTAGACTTTTTACTATATTTTTCTTCTTTTTAAAAAAGCTTTTTTTTTAAAAAGTATTATTTATATATATAGTTAGCTATATTTTTAGTAAATAGTACTACTATATACTTTATAAATAAATAAAAAGAATTAAGTTTTTTAAAAGCTACTACTTTTTTTAACTAATACTAGTAGTATTTTTAAACTTAGCGTATAACTAAGTTAAATTCTTAGTACTTTTTAAAGTATTAAAGAAAAAAAAGTAAGTAAAAATATTAAAAGTTAGTACTAGTACTTTATAAAAAGTAGTTATAGTACTTTAAAAAGTAGCTTTAAAAATAAAAATTTAAAATACTAATATAGTTATATAAGTTATATAAGTAATAAAGATACTAAAGTATAGTTATATTTTATATTTCTTTATAGTTAACTTACTTTAGTATATAATTCTAAAGTTTAGTTTTTTTATTTTATTTATAGTACTATAATAATATAAAGTAAAATAAGCTACTTATAACTTTTAAAATATATAACTACTATATACGTAAAGGTACTTCTTATTAATAAGAGAGATCGCAATCCTTAGAGTCTAATGCGTGGTAGCGTGTTTGGACTGGGAGCTTATGGCTAGTCTTGGGGCTAGACATTGGACGGAAGAGGAGCATTGCAAGATGTATGAAGGTGCGGGGCTGAAGATGATGGGGGTTTGGCGGCATCTACATAGTTTGGATTCGTTGATTGAGCTTGAGCTGGCGTGAGGACAAGTCGAGATTACGCACGATCGCGACTGATGATCTGTGGGAAACATTTCCGACCTCAATGTTCCCGAAGTTACTCTCCAGTATCTAAAATCGCTTCAACCACTTCATACGCCTCTTTGACCATGGCCCTAGTATCTTCGTCCAAGCTCTCCTCATCCGTACTCAGATCCCACAGCCTCTTCTCCCACAGCCCCCACCGTTCCGGTGTCAATCCATCCTCTCTCGGCCATAGTTCAGTTGGATCATCCATCGCCGGCCCCCAATGCTCCCGCAGCTTTGCATGATCTGCATTCCACAGCGCCCAGCCTCCATCGCGCAGCCACATTGCCGCGATCCGAATATCCAGCGCGCGTACCTGCTCAAGCGATATGCCGTTTTCTTTTATCTCAAGCATCGGAGGTGCTTCATGTTCCCGTTCAATTCCGTCGCGGCACGCCCAAAACACCATCATAGGATCACCCACGCCGGCCTGTTCGTCGTGTTTCATCAGCTCGACTGAGAAGATGCACATGCGGAGGTACAGTTGATCACCAGGGACGCTCAGCTGACTTTCAGATATGCCTTTTTCGGGATCTGGATCGCGCACGCCGTCCCAGTTACGCCAACCTTGAAGAATATCATGTGCATCTCTCCAATACCATTCAAAACCAGGTAGCTTTGACCAGTGTATTTGTCCGTCTTCTTCAGTGTCACGGCACAGCCGTAAGACTTTGGGTTTAGTAGGTGGTTGCGCGCGAATGGCGTCTAGAAGTGTAAGATGAGAGTTGTAGGGAGGCGGACAGAAGACGACGTTGTTGAAGATGGCGTCCCAGAGCTCCCATACTGCTTGATCAGCATCGTAGCTTGCGGCGATGGCGTCGATGATCTTTTCCACAGAATGACCGAAGAGTAAAGGGTAGTCTCTTGCTGTCAGAGCTTCTTGAACGAGGGTGTTGAAGCGGTTTGGCGGGGTGGAGCCAGGAATATCGAGGATAGACGTCATTTTTGATAGGGTGCAGACTGCAGACTAAATGCAGATACGATTGGCTCGGGATACTGCGTAGCTTTTGGCTAAGGAAGTCAGTCGCGACAATTGAGGCGAAATCGAGAGTGCATCAGGTCTTTGGGTGAGTATGTCATACCTAGGTATTATCCAGGTCGTGGGCCTCCAGGCAGCCGCAGGCACGTGACTTCGGACAACCATGGTTGGGGCGCCCGATGCCGCTTCGGTGTCGTCTTCGTCTAGTAATTCGAATGTAACGGGAGCTTTTACAGGATCCACGATGGACAATAACATGAAAGCTGGTATTCAACAGGGATACGAATTGTATGCGGTGAGAGAAGTGAGGTCTGCCTAGCTATCATTGTCCTGCTATCTGGTAACACCTATTTTCAACCTTATGTTCGAGCTAATAAAGAAATGTTCATACAATATGGAAGACTGCGTTCCATGCTAGATCCCTTCAGAATCCGAGCGCGTGTTCTGTATTCATCTGAGCCCTCCGGCATCTTTCCACTCGGAACAGGTCGGATGGCCGACGATATTGCACAACCCAATGCCCTCGTGGACCTTGACAGGAGTTGAATCTGCACCACCCCAGCTGGTCTTTTGAATCCACTGACCAGCTTCTGTAGACATATCGGCCCGTATATAGTTGGCCAGGTTAACATGATTCCACCAATCTTGCGCTCGAACGGCGTTGCATGTAGATTGATATGGGAAAGGCAAGTTCAGAAGTCTTTCTGGATCTGGATCGGGAAAGTTCGCGTGCTTCGACCATGAAACGTAGACCTTAGGGTGATCGTTGTTGGTCTTCTGATGGAGCATGTTGTCTCCTATCTCGCTGGGTGCGACGGTGTATAAGTCCGTCCACGCATTTGCCCACCATGAGCCATGCCCTCCAAGTAGAAGCGAGGTTGGTGTCCAGTCACCCCTATCGTCCCTTGTAATGGAGACAATAACGTTCTCCCAGTCGCTGCAAAGCCTGTCAGTCCAATCATTTCAAAGTTAGCCGGGTCATCGGCGAACGTACTAAGGGTGTCCAGTTTGAACAAAAAACCAATACGCGCCGTCCTTCTCGTAGAAGAGATTGTAGGACACGCGGACCTCGTTGTCGCTACATCTGTTGTACGTATAGTACACCGGAAAATCAGGCGATTTGGTGCCTTTGGGAGTGTCGGAGATGCGGCATCCGCAGTTAACGTTCGGGTAAAAGCATGCACTGGCTCCCGGGGTTTGGTAGTCTGGCGCATAATTGTCGCCATTGTTCTGATTTGGTCGTCCGCCAAAAGCCCAAGTTGGCAAGCACCCGGGATAGCCCTGAGATTCGGCAAACATCCAGATAGGTGCCCACTTGTCAGCGAGGATGGCTCCCCCAGCGTTGAGCATATCTTCCATCTGAGCATCCGTGACCGATGAAGCAGCATGAGCAAATGGAGTTAGTACAGCCAGACACCCAAACATGAGCCGAAGGAAAGCCATGATGTCAAGAAACGATGGCAAAAGATGGAGAGTGTGACTATGCGCTACAAACTATTTGATGGTCCCAATGCACCGATTATATGGTTTTCTGCAGGCGCTGTGCACAGCCCGCAGCCTTGCGGCTTACTCTAGCCTCGGCCCTCAGTGGCGTCACTAAAGGTCCTTCAACTTTCTATTTTGGCTACACCTCATGCAAGGCTAGGATAGATGCACGAAAAAGTCACAAGAATAGATTGTGGCCCCAGTGGATGTTAGTTCTACGGCACGTGCCGTGCGGCACTGGCTAATTTTGTCTTGACCGGTGCGCCAGCCTTGTGAACGCCATAACAGCTGCGGGTCTTTCCACCTTTATGAATCGTATCATACGCAGGCTCAAACTGTCTTCGTATCTATATGCAGATCAATATTCGAGTACACGATGCTGAATGGTCTGTCGTTCACCCTTGCCGGTTGCGATATGCCCGGCACCTTCAGGTGTACACGTCGGATATCTTGGCACAGAGATGTGGCGGCTTATGGACGGAAGGCAGACAGCCTAGCTCAGGACCAGCTGCCGCTTATAACAATCCCCCCAAGATTTCAGACTCTGCCTCGTGCTGTACAATTCACCAGTACGTTACAGTATGAGCTTCACTTGGGATCAGTCGACGCCTAACATCCCCATTCTCGGTAGCGATGAGATCAATCTGAACGCTTACAAAGTCGCCGCTGAAGACGATCTGCAATACACAACATTTCTCAAAGATCGTGCAAAGAGACAAGATCAGGCATATGTCAACAGTGTTTTCCGGTTCTTCTCGCAAGTGCACTATGGCTTGCTGACGTGGATCATGTCCAGCTGTGCCAGTGTCGCAAAGTGGACCGCGTTCGCCCCTGTCATCTCAAAGCGTCTGGACCTATACACCCAAGCACACCATGCGCGTGGCCAGAAGCTCGTTTCCGAGAATATCCGTATGATTTGTTCCGATTTACCAAAGCCATCAGACGTGGTGATAGAAGTTATGGATTTCGCACCCGGCCGTATGGAGCTCACGAGACCTAAATTTGGAGAAGTCTCCAAGTGTAAGCCTAGACATAAAACCTCGATAGATATGTAGGACAAGATCAACTGACCCGATTGCAGGGAAAGAAAAGCCAAACTGGGCTCAAGTGCGCTGGATGTGAGAGCTCATCTGTTTCCACTGTGTCGACATTGCTGATAGCAAGTAGTCATGTTCCGTTTGGGCGTGGATGGCTATCCAATGTAAGCATGAAGAGCTGTTAAACTCTAGGGCCCGTGTTGTCTAACCACAACAGTTTGTTGAGGATGAGATTCTTTCCGGTGGGCCTCGAGGCTTCCCGTTCATGAACGCTGGTTTTCCCGAGTTCCCTTACATATCGACGGAGTCCATGACCTTCTGGTCGAAGTCCAAATGCCAGCGCAGGAGAGCCTTAGTATCGTACTTCTCGACACCGATATCACAGATGACCCGCGACATTGGCCAGTATCTGCTGGACAACCTGTGGGAAACAAGAGAGCTCAAAGATGCTGTCAAAAACTACCGCGGGCAACGAGGTCGGCGTCCGACTAGCTTCTGGGCGTTGTCCTTAGCAGAGATGCCGCTCGACTTGGATGAAGCTCCAAACTCGGCCAGATTAGCAGACAGACATTTTGGGCACCAGGAACGTAGTGATGAGCTAGTTGACCAGACCTTGTCGATGCATCCATATTATCGAAATGCTCGGCTCGTACGCTCTAAACTGTCGATGTTTCACCGACATGACGGTATGTAGCCATCTTCTCTAAACAATGATCAGAGCGTGGGCACTAACATGTCAAGTAGGCTTTTTGCTGACTTCCTCTCAACCGCTTGGTGTGCAATATCTTCATCGAGACTGGTTTGAACCATCTATCGCAGCCCCGATGACCGAGTATGCGAAGAACACATGGGCTTGTATGGTACCACAGGCATTCCACCATCTGTCCAAAGGTGTTGAAAGCTGGTATCGGCTCGATGAAACTTGGCTCTCCATATATCTTGCGACTGAGATGTGCATGCTTCCCTCCAGCCGCCTTGGTGGTCCAGGTCTCAACCCAGAAGAAGCGTACTTCATCATTTTAACAAGATACGTGAGTATACTTTGTCAAGTCTTGGATGGACCTTACTCATGTCTGCTATACAGAAACAAAGAAGTCGATACGAATGGAACAACCGAACAGCAATCGACCTAGTCAATGGGCTCGTCGAGCTGAATGATGAACTACATAATTGGCAATCGTTACTAGAGCAGCAGCAAGGCTTCCTGGAGCGTCTTCGCAGGGACGCTCTAATTCTTGAACAACACTATAAAGCCAACCCGGTGGATCCTGGCCTGGAAGGGAAAGGCGAATCCCCAACTCAAAGGGTGGATCGGGCGCTCAAGTCTGTTGGTATTCGACGAGCCGAGATGGACAAAATCTTCCACGAGTCCAGCAGAGTTCTAGAAGCGGTAGGTGGTCCTGATCCCTCCAATCGCAGTACCCGAATATTGACATAGAGTTTTGTGCAGATCTTTCGACTCCGTACGATTCAGCAGAATGAGCTCGCAGTCAGTGCAGAGCGATCAAACAAAGCTGTCGTAATCTTCACCGTTGTTTCATTGATATTTCTTCCATTGTCTTTCCTTTCTTCGTACTTCGCTATCATACCCCAGTTTGCTGCCAAAGACAATCCTCTATCTGCAAGTGTGTTCTGGAAAACAAGTGTGCCGTTAGCAGTAGCTATCTCACTTCTGTCAGCTGGTATAGCATTTCGACACAGAGTCTTCCGAGCAGTATCATACTTTCTGGGATTGAACAAGGCACCAAAGGCGCATGATGCACAGAAAATGGTTTGATTCGAGCAAATAACGCTGTCAGTAAACAGTCTGCCGGTGTCGTGTCCAGTATTACCTCAGCCTCAACAGCAATAACATACTATCCTCTCTTGCGCTATCAGAACCGGAACTCTAGTGATTACAGTCTTAACTACCCCACTTCCGTGTCTCGACTCGAAGTATCGTCTCCATTGGACAAACATTCGTCACAGACTCGCAATTCTAGTCACGTTAATCGCATGAAAGCTTAGAGAGACATTGAGCGTACCTTCACTCTTTCCAGATTCTTCTTGATGGCAAAGGTAGGTCCATCAGACCAAACCTTTTGACCAGACACAGTTCCTTGCCTCTGATCCTCGGATGCAAAGGCTGCATCGCCCCAATGACCTAAAAATTTGAACCACCTAGTGGGTTGATACCTCGGTCTCAGAGCCGTGATCTCCTGAGATGATGCAGAAAATGAATAAACCACCGCATTGAGCGAAGGATTCCATCGGTACCCTTTTGAGGTAAAGTCGTAGATTACGGAGTTATCTGGCATGATGTATCGATTTTTCCTAACTTTCTCAGTGGGACTCCGCATTCATGGCGCAGCTTACGTACCCTGCAATCGCGTACAAAGCGTGCGTGCCTCGACCAGCATAGATTACGGGCTTCTTCCCAACTTTTTCTAGCGCATCGTATGCATACAAATTACCAGAGGAGTGGCGACTAAGATATACCGAATCAGGAGATCCATTGCGGAATCTCACAACAGAATGTTCGAGATCACCTACGTGGTTGCCGAAGAATTCCGTTGAATTGGGAATGCGTGGTCCAGCATTAAAGTTGTAGAAGTAGAACGAAAACATGTCAACGACGTCTTCAAGAAATCCATCTCCATTCAAAATCTGTTTCTTCACAAAGATCGTGATGACTCTGGCTGAATCAACTCTGTCATCGTTGGGTCTCTGTCCATGTAGCCATTGGGGGTAGGTTGTCGGGTCGTCTCTTGCGGTCAAATATACGTTTTCACCGGAGCCGCCGTATTGATTCAACAGGTCCAAGTTATTCAGACAGAGGGGAGTATTTAGCGGTGGGCTAAAGGGCTTGGTTCCGTTCATTGGCATCACGTGCTCGAGGCTGCCAGCGTCAGATCGGAGTCTGTCAGTGACCCGTACCCGATCACTTACAAAGCCCCAAAATCACTCGGAAAATATTCTTCCTCTTGGTCAAGGTAGATGAAGGGTGCTTGGAAACTTAGTGTCATACGTCATCGAACAACGCTCAGCCTGCTCACCATATTCAAGCATTTCCGGGAAGCCCGTCTCCATATTCACGCTCCTGCGTAGTGCTTTCTCGACACTACTGACAGCTGTTCCAGCTCCGAGGTATAGATACACCATGAGCAGAACGCTCAAGGCCGCAAGCGCACGCTTTGTACCCATTTCAAGGATATGCGCTTCTAGCTCTTCCTGACGTCATTAGCCTCGTCTAGCGTACGGATATCGACATGCTGTTAGTTGGGATGGCGTACCGTTGATTCAGAGCTGATCTGGGTCTTTCAATCACAATTGTAACGCGCCGTACGTGTCTGCAACTTTCGGAGTTGAAGGTTTGTAAATATCGAGAAGAGTGTTAAAGTCAAGGCTGTAGCTGCTGTGCGATGCAGGTTTCTTAGCTTGTCTGCGTGAGGCGCACGCGCAAAGCCTGGTTGGCTGGGCCAGAAACGCCTGTGATTGGCCAAAGGTGATTTCAGTGATGACCATATCTCGACGTTCTAGAGACACAACTTATCCTCGCTTCAAGTTTTCACATGCAGGCCCTGTACACTACAATCAAATGAATATCAGAGTTGCTCTTGCTCTTTTTGGTTAAAAAATTCTGTGTTGAGGCAGACAAGGCTATGCCGGAAACTCGGCAATGTCATATTTCTCATCTCTGCCTCCCATAAGGTATGTGCATGTGAATGCTATAGTTCTTTGCACCTCCTCCAACCCTCGCACTGCGGCCTGCTATGATGCAACATTCTGACACTGCTCCTACACTGCAAGTGTTCATTCGTATCAAGACGTGGCTACAGCTAACGCCGTTCCTTCTCGGCCTCCTCCAACTCCACCGTCCAAAGATGAAACTTTGACCTCGCTCTAATCCTCGGACCAAACCGAAAGAACAGCCACGGCACTGGCGCCATAACCAAAGCGACGACCCCCAGCGTACTGCTAGCCCATGGTGTCCCCATCTTGACATACATCTGCCGCGCAAACAGCGGGAAACCAGCCGTGAACAAAGACCGCATGACGGCATTAGCAGCCAAAGCGCTTGCGGAGAAACGACCGTAGCAGTCGGTCAGGTATGCGTTGGTTCCCAAGAAGAGCGTGACAAAGCCAATGCCAAAAGGTATGCCAGAAAGGATGCATACGACCCAATGCGTCGGCGGGTTCGCGGTCCATCCGAACCAGAAGAGCGCCACGGGGATGAACCACGCTATGATAATGAGATGTGGCAGTCGCGCCTCTGGCTTTGGTCCTCCAAGCTTCTTGACCCATATGCCGTGGATGTCGTTAATCCAGGGTGAGCTCGCCGTTGCGATCGCCATGCCGAGTCCGATGCCCAGGAAGGATAGACCTGCAATACCCTCGCTCCAATGGCGCGTCTGCCGGAAGACTACTGGGTAGGCGGTGAAGTCGAGATACAGTATACCCCAGACGAATGCGGAGTAGAGTCCCAGGACGAATAGAATGGGCTCTGTGAAGAGCATGAGCCATGGGCGGGTGAGGTTGGTAGAGTATTGCTCCTTGAAAGATTGGCGTGGGGGCTTGATGCCTGCTTTTGCCAATTTACGTTCTAGCAACGTTGTCGTGTATGTCTCGGGAAGGAAGAAGAGCATGGCGGTATACACGATCGCGGCAATGATAGTTACGACCCAATAGAGCCATCTCCAATCCATGTACTGCGAGATGAAACCTCCTGCCACCGGCCCTAGGACTGGACCGAGGGAACTCCCCGTCGTGAAGAGTGCGAATGGCACCGAACGATGGCTTTGAGGCCAGATGTCTGCTAAGCATCCGCCGCTGTTGGTCACAACGGGTGATCCAAAGAAGCCGCTGAAGAACCGAAATGTCAGTAGAGCGGCAAGGCTAGGCGATAGCGCACAGCCAATGTTGAAGCAGAGGAAGAGGAACATGGTGATGCGGAAGACGATTTCTCTTCCCAGTGCTTCTGAGAGCGGTGCGAATAGCATTGGGCCCGAGGCAAATCCGACCAGGAATGTCGTTACTCCCAATGTTGCGACGGTTGAGGAACATGCGAATGTTTCGGTGACACCTGGGATTGCCGCGGCGTGAATACTTGAGCAGAATGTGATGTTCGCCGTCATGAACACGATGACCATCGTCGCCGTCCATTTCTTTCGGGCGGGCCAGTTGAACGGGTGCTCCTCAGGGTCGAGCTTGATCTGGGAGCTTTCATCTTGCATGGCTTGAACGTTGAGCACTGTCTTCTCGGCTAGTACGCAACTGGCAGGGTGAGAGCTGAGACTTTCGGGATCTTGACTAATCCTGGCGTCTTGCTGCATTGTGGACGACGAAGAAGAATGAGAACGAGAACGAGTGCGATGTGATGAGAGATGAACTTGGCTACACTTTGGCCTGGCTTCATCTATGGGTCCAGCTCATGAGAGAAACGTTCATTGGGTATGGCAAAGCTGTCAGCGTCAATCAGTCGAGATGATTGCTGGTCTGCCAAGCTCAGTATACAATGAGTCATATCGACCGTGGCGTTCGTGGCTTTCATGTTGTATAGCGTGTGACTGGTGGACATGGCGAGGATGTTCAGAAAGGTACCAGAGCTCTGCATGTCGTGATACGCTCAACCGGATTGTAGGCGAAGGCCTAGGATCTTGGCCTGGCGGTATCAGACGGTGACGCGACAGTTCGCTTCGATCTAAGGCTTCCCGCAAGTGATTCGTGGTCCGAATAGGCGACGGGTTGGGAACGTAGTTTGCGGGTGATATCGCATGTGCAGACTGAGAGAGCAGCAGCACGGTACTCGGTGCCGATGCGTCGAAACGGCATACCCGCGTCGTATTACAGGCTCCAATGACGGGCGCTGACTGGACCCTGTGGGGTATCTGGTGAGAGAAGCATGCGGAGAAAAACAACAGACGAACGTAACGGTGCTGGGGCAGTAATGTTCTCATTCCAACGTGAACTAGCTTCTGTTCCATATCCTGGGGATTCAGTGCGCCCTTACTGTGCCTCAAGCGATCGCCAAGGGCTGATTCTAGAACGGCCTTTGGCTAAGCGATCTGTACGATACCAAATGCGTACATGAACATTGGTGGAAAATCTGCTGTGTCAAGGTTGTCAACGACGCCCTGCGACAGTGATGACAGCCTCGTCTGATCCTACGTTGACATGAAGACAAGTAAGGCGCAGGGTGGAAAGTCGAACAGCCAACCGATGTGGGAGGAATGGCTGCGTCTGATGAGGCAGTTATAACTGACCGTTGTATCGCTGCTAGAGACGCGGTGAAGCCTCCTCGAGTTCACACTGCGATCGCAAAGACGTACCGCTCCGAGCAGTGCGTGAAGGTCGCAGTGGTTCTGCATCCGACGAAGAACTAAGTCTCGTCGGCTGTTATCTATGAGATGCGGTGTTCAGCTTCAAACGGCTCCACACCGCACCGCTTATTCGGGCTGTCTAGGCTGCAGTAGGAAGAGCCGCGACGCGGTTATCATCAAGCTCATCGATTGGGGGCGTCAACCCTGTTCCCGATTCTGGTAAAATATAGCCGTAGCCCTCTTCATGGCTGATGAACCAGCGGAGTTAGTGGTCTCTGCCTTCGAATCGATTTCCCCAGCTTCGTGCAAGTACTTGGGTAGGCGGTGAGTTCACAGCGAGTGCAAACAGGGCGCTGGTTGGGTGGAATCGGTCACAAGCCCCGGCTGGATGAGGAAGTAACGCTGAACCATGTAAATCGAGGACTACCGGAGTCGCGTCGCGTTAGGCAGTTATTATCGGAAGGAAGTGCGTCCTTCGTACGCAAAGGTGAATCTTCCGACGCACCGAGGGTGGCATCGGTCTCTTCGTTTACTAGGTGTACGTGGGAGGCCGCGTCAGGTCGCGTGGCTTGCGGATCGTTGTGCCGTGTGCCTTCGAAGTCATAGATGACCATAATTGTGGGAATGTATCGTCGGACTCGTGCGTACCCAAACATGTCTTCGGCTGCTACGTTGGGGGTTGGCGGTGTATTCCTCGCGGGTGATACGCCTCTCGGGGCTCGGGCGTCGTAGCTGTAGCTAGGGTCGGTACCGCTAACATTGCGTCGTTGTATGTCAGAGTCGAGATTACATATTTGCTCGCGGAAAGCTTCGGAAGGGGCGATATAGGTCTCAGATCCTGTCGCGGGTGCTGCGATACATGTGCCGTTGTAGTTGAGAGAGCGTCGCGTTCCCTTGGCGTTCGTCATCGCGAGGAGCTCGCACGCTAATGATGTTCGGTTAGCGCACGCAGCTAGCGAGGAAGGGCTCCTTGAGCAGTCGACGGTCGGATGCTCCGTGCTCGAAGAACCATTTAGCCTGGTTCAGCAGACTCAAAAAAGAGGAGTTTGCGTTCTCTTCATCTGTTTCGGCTTGCGAGCAGAGTGCGGGACAGGAAAGTGATGCGACGTACAGCTACCTTAGATCCTCTTTGTACTGTGCCGTACACACGGTTACCTAGGTACTGACAGCTACCTCTCCATCATGCGGTTTCACAGTTGACCTACTGATGTGACCTTATATAACTCTACTTAGCTCGCTCCTGCATAGGGCTACATAAGACGGCGGCTAACAAACAACTATCTTATCGGCAAAGTGAGGTGCAAGGCGTAGCTTCTAACACCCGAGTTGTAGAAGGGACGAGTATATCTAACAAGAGAGTAGCTAACACGTAAGCTAACGTATAAAGAACTGTTTTAGTGAAGACAGTTCTATATATATCATATAATGCTGTATATATACGCACTACTGTGTTTTTAGTATACTTCCAAGGTTACGTTCTTAACGAGATCGTGTAGCCTACAACAGTGTTTGATACATGTTTACGCGATCGCAACCTCAGGTCATAGATTGACAGTTTGCTCGATTTACATAGTGCTCTGTCATCAACATCGAGGGCCTATCAAGCGATGATAATATCGACGCGCTCCTTCACAGATCCTGCCAAACAATGCAAACATGCTTTTTCTGGGAGAACGAGTACCTTTTTGCCGGTCTGTACAGCAGCGGCCGTCGCCCCCAGACGCGCTTGCCAGTTGCTACAGGCACGAAAGATTGCCATCCCGTTTGGAGGATCTAGAAACTCTTCCCAGCAGTCCACTGCTGTCAAGCCCCAATCTGCAACATCGGCTGCCTCCTTATCGGTAGCATGCGTGCATTTCTCGTTCACGCGAATACTGGATCTGTTGAACATAGAAAGGATGTCCAAATCCCCTATGTTGCGGCCGCGGTCATCAATAGAAATGAGAGCCTCAAGAAGTACCACTTGCCGATCGCGAAGTCCCCGGTTCCCCACATACACAGCATCTTCCGACTCAGTGAATGTAAGATGTAATGTAGTACCCCCAAATGAGTCTTGCAACTGACCATCAAATGCCATGTGATTTATAAGCTTCCAAGAGCGGACGTCTGGACTTGCGAGGCGCGGATCTGCAGGTGGTATTAGTAGGCAAAGCTCTGAGCGCCCCAGGTTGCCAAACACTCTTTGGATCGGAGCATCCGCTGTGCTTGCTGAAGGATCTACAAGGAGCTCGCTCGCGACGTAGATAGATGCTCCGTTTGCCAGTGCCATAACTGCGTTAAGGTTCTTCAGTGGGATATCAAATTCGCCAGAGTCGAACCACGCTATGCAAGAGAAAGCCCTTCTTATTTGAAGTCCTCTATCCTCCTGAGCATCGTTGTAGGGCTGGCGAAACTCCTGTTCGAGCTCAATACTCCCCTGCCTGAAGATCGGCCCCAGCCTTTCAGAAGGCTCGCCATCTTCGTCGCCATGATAGACGGAGACATCTGAGTCCTGCTTGCTGGTATCTGTCATACTGAATTGATCTGATGGTAGATCTTTCTGAACGGATGATCGTTCGACTGCTTCGTCTTTATGCCACCACATGCCTAATGCATGTTTGCGAGTGGGTAGGCTTTCGGGTTCGATCGAGTTTGCCCAAGAGACACCATACATGGTGCTGTTGATGACTTCGATAGAGATGGTAGAGTCAGGCATTGAATTGTAGAGATTAGTCGCAAATGTCAATGCGTTTAATGAGCGAGCTTGCTGCTCAGCACCTGCCACAGACCAATGAAAGCAAGAGGTCCAGAGGTCAAGGCTTGCCGGATCAAACCAAACGGAGTCTACTACAGCTTCCATCTCTTCCATTGTCGCAGAAGGCATGTCTGATGGGCTTCTTGAATAGGTATCGTAGGTCGGCGTTTCTTGATGCTGGAAGACAGCTGCGATTTCGCCATGTCCGAGCCATAGCCCGTATGTTGTTGGATCCGGTTCTCCACTCCTTCGAAGGATGAATTGAAATTCATCGACATTATCCAAACAATCTGGGTGTATCAGAAATGCATCTTCGCCCTCATCTGCCAGTGCTTGTTGACGACACTTATTGAGACAGCCTACACAAGTATGCTCAGGAGAACAATCTTTTTGGCATTCGAATTCCAGTGAGTCATGAGGTCCCGGTAAATTTTCGCACATGCTCCTATCTTCATGGCAATTGTCGGTACACCTAGTGCCATGTTGTTTGCAGATACATTCGCCCAATGCCAGGTCTGTGCATCCGCAGCCTACAAGACTATAACAGCTAACGTTGCTCTCATCGTCTTGATACTGGCCAGGCGCAAAGCGTTGATAGCCTTCACTATATTGGGCTTCTTGTCCGATAGAGCGTTTCTGTGAGGTCCTTACAGACGGAAACACAGTGGCATACTGATGACCTGTGCTGACTTGGGAAGACTGATTTTTGTAACGGATTAGGAGCTCGTGGCCTTTTTCCTTGTTGCGGGATTCTGATGCACGCCGAAGAATTCTGATACGTTCTTCGATGTTGGTCAGGCAGCGGATTAGAACGTGAAAATATTCCAAGCCGAACATAGCGGGAGCGGTGTAGTCGGTACTATAAAGAAATCCAGTGCAACGTCTGCTTCCAAGTCTCAATAGTTTGTGGTTCTGTGCGTGCGATGATCCACTCGAGTCAATGATACGACAGGCTGAGTCCGCAAGGATCTTGAACCATGTTGGCACAGTCGTGCCGAGTCTCTGGTAGGCATCGTGGAGCCGAACGATGAATCTGCAACATCTTTCTTCATCAGCGCAGATGCGACTCCAGCGTGAAACAAATGCTCCAAGGAAGACGATTTGGAACTCTTCTATAGTTATCCTGGATGTATCTGAAGCGAGAATGCGTTCAGTGATGACTGGGGGTGAGTAATACCGCATGCGAGACAGGGGTAAAGACCAGAAAACACCCTCTCGACCACCAATAACGTCAAAAGACGAGACGGTGAGCAAGGAACGAGCCATAAGCTTATCCCCTGAATTGAGGTCCTTCGCGCGATCGGATATGATCTGCATATTGGGATACAAGTGCCATGCCGTTATCGCCAATAGAATAGCACCGTCCTGCACTCTTTGCGGCGTGCCGCAAACGAGCCGCTCCATGGTGTTCATTCCGGATGTCCACGCTGCAACAACGCTCTCGTATGGTTCCTGGCTCGTATTCACCGGCTTCTGGATATTGTTGATGATCAGCATGAGCTGTGTCTGATTCAGACGTTTGGCGGCATCGGCAGCTTGTAACCACGATCTGGCGCTGGCATCCCATGCTGATAGCTGATCGCGGGTGAAAAACTGCTGCGCTGCCATTATGGAGGGAATTTGGGTCGCAGATGAGGCATTATAGGCCTTGAATATCTCTTGTTTGCGTCTTTCCACCAATTCCACCCACAACGATGTGGCTTCGGCCGGCTTCCAGATTCGCGCCAGCATGCATGCTAGTAAATGCATGGCGATTGCGTGCTGACCTGAGGTGGCGGCCGCCCAAATTGATGTGCCATCAGCACCTGCTCGATCGGCGAACATGCCAGCTGGCAGCGATACCGAATTTAGCTGTCCAGATATCTCGGAGACGCGTTTCCCATACACAGCTGTGAGATGCGGTATGGGGGGAATCAGAGACTCGAACAGAGCCCCAAGGCACCGGGCTGTCATATGCTGGACTCCTTCTTCTGCCTCGTGGCGTCGTCGTTGGGATAACACATCGCGCAACCCATGGAACTCAGGCGGAGCTTCCACTTTCATGAGCGAAAAGTTGAGGTTGAAGTTTGCGGCAGCTACGGTAAGTTCGTTGGGTACCGAAAGAAGAGCTGTGCTGAATTTGCTGATTGAAGCCATAGCGTCTGCAAATTCGGGGTATCTGCATGCACGCCTGTACAAGATAGTTCACTATTGTCTGGGTTTCATGTCATGCTAGCTGTAGGATCATAGAATAAGTGGCTAACTTATAGAGTTTGAGGGGCATTGCAGACTTCTGAAGAGAGGAGAAGAGAAGGCTGAAAGCTCGAGGCTGAAGGCAGGCTGAAGGCAGAAAGCAGGGTTCGGGGGTGGGGAAGAATGCTGACTGCATGGAATCTGTACACGTATGCGCACGCGCTCAGCCGCTACGCTACGTTGGGCTGTGCACTTCTGTTAATCGCACATACTTAAGAAGCTTTCGCAGGCGTTCGGGTACAGGATTCAAAGTGGAAATCTCATTTCTTTGCTGTGGCGCTGCTATGGATATCACTGCCTACCTAGGTAGTTGCATGCGACCCGGGGTGCAGGCAGGATGTCAGCATTTTGATGAATATGGACAGCAGAGTAGTTGCAGCAAGCGCTGCAATACCGTGTCCGTGGTCACAATGTGGGAAGGCTCGAGCGCGAAAATCAGGAAATGACAGGTGAAGTGTCCCAAGTTCGTAGCGTTCGTTGGAAGGTGAGGGGACAGTACCTAAGCGTGCAGGCCTTCGCAGCCTGCCCGCGGGTGGATGGGTTCAATGATTGTGGGGTTTGGCGCGCCAAGCCTCCTATCGATATGCGATTGTACCAGCGGTCTAGTACCTAGGCACGCGTGCGCAGGAATTCGCCGCACACTAAGCTACCTAAAAAGTAGAGAAATAATAAAAGTACTTTTCTTTAATACTTTATAACGTAATAATATAATAATATTATTAAATTTTTAAAAGCTATAACTATAAAGTATCTTACACTCTTTAATTCTGCTTATCTAAAATTTTAAATTTAGAATATTATTATTGCGTTAAAAGCTTATAAAGAGAAGTAATTTCTAAGTATACAGCGAATTTATGTACCTGCGTGCTAGGCACCTAATGTATTAAATTCCCGGGACTTCTAATACTACTGTTTTTCTTGCCTTATATTGCTTTGTATCTATATATTTTTTCTAAATTCCTAGACATAAGAATATAGAGAATTACAAGCTCTATCTTTATAGTATTTTACTTTATTTTATTCTTTTGTTGTTGTTGCGTTAGAAGAGTATAAAAGAGAGGTAGATTTTGCTGTCCTGCTAAAAGAGCGCTAATTTGGTGAGGCTGGAGTCCCGCCAATTTCGTACATCGGGTGCTAGGTATCTGTGTTGTGTTTTCCCTCATGCAGCCACAATGCTTCTTTGTGCCTATCGCACGTAAGACTAACGCCTGAGTGTTCGAACGAGCGACCCAGCGCTCCCCAGAACAGAGTCAATCCTGGAGGAGAGCCTGGCTGGACAGCGACGTTACAATGTTTGGAAGACTATGCGTCTCTCACGGATGTAGCGAAACGCCTGCAGCTGCAATTACTTAACAAGTAAGCCAGGACGAATATGTCTTTGTTGAAAACAATTGCGCAACGGCGACCTAGTTGACGGGTATGGCCTAGTAGATGTCTCGCGTCGCTTGAGAGTGCAGATTCGCCAACCACCAGCAATACAACGATGTAATAAAGTTAACAATACGATTGATATCAATCAACAACTACATCTACGTCGCAGTACCATTCCCTACCACCGTCCCATTCACACCCCCACTACTAAAGTACGCGCAATGAATCAAATACCTCGACGTCTCCGCACTAAACCCCTCCAACGCAACAGCATCAATCTTGCTCAACGAGAAAGCGCCATTATTCATCTTCGTGTAATCGCTCAGCGGGATCCTCAGCACCACCGGACTCCCATTCATACTGCCGTACGCCGCCGTCGCAACACTAAGACGCTGTATCGCCGTCTGGCCATCGCAGCCAAACCCGCCGCTCTGCAACTGCACGTTGAAGCTCGCGCCTGCACTCGCCGTGACGTTGAGAACGAGGTACTGGGATGTGGAGACGTCGGCGCAGTTTTGCAGCGAGTACCAGTATGAGCCTGTCACACTAGGTTGGAGGACTAAAGCGCCATCCGTGACGACGGGTGCGACTTCCATGGTGCCGTCGTCGCTTTGAACGTAGCCGTGGTTATTGCGGTTTGCGACGCCGGGTGTGCAGTAGTTCAGCCATGCGTCGTCGGGGCAGTTGCATGTTTGAAGCGAAGGCGTGGCGGCGACGTTGATCAAACTGATACATCCGACCTTTACGTCCACGTCAGAGGGGTTGAACGCTGAGAGTGCGACGCTGTCGAGTCTGCTGGTGTTCATGCCGGAGAAGTCGGCAAAGGGGATCTGTGCGACTTGGTACGCGTCGGCGCTGGTGAATGTGACGAAGGAAGTTATGGGGACGGAGGAGGGGGGCGAGAGTGTGGTGCACTCTTCGTCCGTCTTCCAGCGCATGGTGACGCGGAATGTGGTTCCTGCGGGAGCGGCGACGGAGAGTTGGATGCCCGTCGCGTTTAGTGTGTTCGCGTTGTAGCATCCGCTGTTGTCGAATTGAGAGTACCAGTATGAGCCGCTTGTAGAACCCAAGACGAGAGAGCCGTCGCCGTCAACAGAGTATGAAGCGAGAGAACCTTCATCGGTCATTTGGCCGAGGAGTCGGTTGACTCGCGGGACTTCGGGCACGAATGTGCAAGTGTTCAGAATAGTACCCGAGCACAGCGCGCAACCGGGGCTATTCGCCGGTCCTGTGAAGACCAGGGAGTGGATGCGATAGGTCGAGCCAGGCGAGTTGAAGCTGGTCATGACGAAAGACTGGAGGTATTCTTGATTGAAAGTAGCTGGGAAACGCGAGAATGGGATCGTGAGCTGTGTCGATGCGGCGTTGAAGGTGATCGGAACGTAAGACGTGACTACGTTTGTGCCGCAACCATCAGTGCCGTATCTGAAGCCGATGTTCGCGGTCGCATCTTGCGGGCCTGAGACAGTGAGGATAATCGCGTCGTAAGAGCTGTTCACGGCTCTGCATTC